GGGTGTCTGAATGGGAAGGAGGTGAAGATAGGGAGAGTCGCAAAAACTTGAACTCAAAACTTGCATGTACTATTTTTCTTCGAAAATATAGATGAGTCCCACAGTAATTGGCTTCGAGTTCAATCGATTACAGTTTATTTCGAAAATAGTTGGTTAAAATCCATTTGATTTAGAATAATTTACACAACCGATTAAAAACCAAATCGATTTTCACCAAAATTGTACCGTCTCAATTTGAAGCAAATCATATAAGAATTTAAACTTTACTATGTTTGCGACTTCAGTTCAGTGGCAACTTTATAGTTTGCGAACATGAACAATCCTAATAATCATGGAAAATCAGGTGGTTCATGTTGAAGTGTGGAGCAATCTACTTATCTTCAATATGCATGATTAAAATAGATTAAAAAGTAATTATAGGCAAAATGTGGGAAGAATTCGGTTACGCTCGTTTTCTACGTGAGTAAGAATCGATTATAATAGATTCTTTTATGATTAAATATCTATTAAAACTAATCATTAAATAAGATTTGAAATAAGAAAAATGGATTTAATTAACTTTGCTCAGTAATCGATTATAACCGATTATTTTGTAAACCAATTTAATCGGTATTTTGTATTTCAAATCGAACTTATTGATTAAGTTCGAATTATAATAGATTTTGTGAGACTCACATATATTTTCGAAAAGACTAGTGAGTGTAAGTCTTAAGGTCAAGGTTTCGCGGCTGCCCTCCCCCTCACTTTATAGACAGCCCTCCATTATAGACCTTAGCGACGAGGTTTAATATGATGGATACACATATACATGTATATATGTCGGAGTTGACTTTAAAATTCAGTTGCCTTTAAAAGGGAACTAGTTCACTTTAAAATTATAAAGTCAACTAGTCGACTTTAAAATTTCAGAGTCAACTAAGATGGAGCTAGTTGACTTTAAAATTTTAAAGTGAACTAGACGATTTTATAATTTTAGAATCAACTAGCTCCATCCTAGTTGACTTTACAATTTTTAACTTAACTAATCCACTTTAAAATATGAAGTAGTATATCTTTATTCATACAGTAAAAATTATGTTTATTTAACTCATAAACTGCGTAGTAGTGTCAAACTTGAAAGTTGAATTCAAGTATTCAGCTACCAGTTCAACTATTCAAGTATTCAAATTTTAAATCAATCGACGCCTGGAATGCTACTAGAATCTCCTAACATCGGCAGGTATTGTCTGGAATGCTAGTAGCTTCACCTGGCATGCTATAGAGTTCTCTAGAATGCTGTCAGTATTAAGTAAAATGCTACAAGCATCACCTAGAATGCTACAGGCAACACCATTGATGCTACAAACATACTCTAGGATGCTACGAGCATCCCTAAACATGCTACGTAACTGAAAGGTTTCTGTTTAACGAATCATACACGTGATTACTTTTTCGTTCTTTAGTTTATATATATATTTCTCTTTTATATGAATCGTCAACATCTGTCTGGATGAGAATAGTTGATCGATGAAATGTTTGTTAATTATTACAAGACGCGTTCATCAAAATCATTGAAATGACAAAAAATGTTTCATTAGTCAAAAAAAACGTTAAAACAGTGAAATTTCTAACAATAGTGAGCGTTTAAACATCGAAAATATGTTAAAAACATTAATCTGTAACTGTTTTAACGCCTATTTGACCATTTATTAAACATTTTTCGCAGTTTACATATTGAAATGTTTAAATGCCATTTTAACTGTTATCGTGTCTATTCCTGACAGGGTTTAGCTAAAACATGTATCTAGTCGTATTTCTCCGTATACGATTGTTTACGACTGTATTTGTTCGGTCTAAATAATTATGTTGTCTCATCATAGTCGATCATACCGTAAGACTTCGGAAAATCGTTTATAAAGTTTCAAAAATCTTATATACTGATTGTTTCACCTGACTTGAAAATGCAGTTAATATTATGCACTTAAAGATAATAAAATCATAAACATTATTATTTACCTTATTATGCATGGATTGTTTTATGAGAATATAAGACTTGTATGATAGTAGTAAGCTTCATTGATTATCTGTGTGGTTAAATGCTTCATTTAAGTGTTATCTGAAATATTAAACAAATGTTTTCATCAAAATTACTCGCCATCATGAATTACCGCAAATTTACAGACTATGATACAGTACGATGGATATTTTTTTTATTTATGCGATCGTTATAAGGTAGCTTTTTGCTTACATTTTTTCTACATGACTATAATTGTATTTTGTTGTTGTTGTGACATGCTCACTATTATTGCATCGTATACTCGTCAGTATTATTGCATTCTCTTAAACAGTGGTCGATAGAAGCTGTATTCTCTTAAACAGTGGTCGATAGAAGCTGTATTCACATTTTCTTTCTGTTTGGTGTTTATCCATTGATTATGTTTGTTTATACCACGCGCATAAACCAATGAGTCATGACAGACAGCCTAAACGAAAAAGAAAAATAACTATCTGTTACATCCTGCCATCTATATATGCTTAGTATAACTCTTTCGTGTTCGTGATTGTCTTTTTCTTTTCATTGTTATTTTGTTGTTATATATATTTGTGAAGGTGAAATAAACAGTCAGTTATGCTCCAACTTAAATGAACTCGAACGTCCTTAATATTAAATACAAATAAAAGCATAACAAGTGGTGACAGCGGTTTAAAAGAAGCAAAAATTTTGTTTTCTTCTTTTAATTCAAGGACGATTATAATTTCTTAAAGAAGGAATCCTTCTTAATTAGGAGTTGATTCTGTCCTACACATTAAGCGACGAAACTTAATTTCCAATTATGACTGACGATGAGTCACCTTCAAATTTAAATGACGATACAAAAACAATCGAAAAACCGATGCAAACAATACAAGCACAACAAATAAGTACACCAAATGAATCAGTTCATCGACATGTTCGAATTTTCGCAGAAGAAGAAAGAATTAGTACAGATAAATGGTTATCTATATTGAATCAAGTTAATGATGATTTGAATTATTCACCATCACAGCGTATAGCCTATGCGGTCAAATTTTTCGATGAAGAACAAAAAGCATGGTATGAACAAAATAAAGATGAAATTAAGAATGATTGGACATTATTTCGTGAACGATTAGAACACAATTCATCTAATCATAAATTAATTCGAACAACTACTCCGTCGATTAATACTTCAATATTAAACAATACTGGACGGGTTGTACTTGAAGATCTTATCGATGCAAAGTTTGACAAATATTCAGGTGTTGGTGATGCAAAAAATTGGTTATTGCAAACCATGAATCAGTTTAAAGCATGTGGTTTACGACGTGATGATCAATTTGAAGCTATACCTTTACTATTAGAGGGCGATGCTTATTTATCGTATGCTGACAACAGCGATGCAATTTTCAACTTCGAAACATTCACCAAGTTATTTCTTCAACAATTCAAATCAACGATATCATCATCAACAAGTTCTATAGGGGGTACGGGAACATTAGTGACCACAGTACCTGATCACTCATCTATATCACATTTGCAACGAACCGTGGTGGATGAAATTATTAAGAAACCAACATATTTTCGTGGTTCACAAGATGATGTACACGATTGGTTAGATAAGTTAGAACAACGTTTTACAATGGCTAATTGGAATGACGAACAAAAATTACGATATATTCTCTAGACTGAAAGGCTAGGGTCTAGAAACCGTAATTCACGTGTGTCTGTATGTTCGTCTGTCTGTCTGTCTGTCTGTGTGTCTGTCTGTGTGTCTATCTGTCTGTAACAAAGGGGTTGGCACAAATAACCATTTCTATGGTGCAAATGACCATTTTTGTGGCACAAATGACCATTTCTATGGCACAAATGACTATTTTTTTGGTAGAAATGACCATTTCTATGGGACAAATCGCCATTTCTGTGGCACAAATGACCATTTTTATGGCACAAACGACCATTTCTGGGGCAGAAATGACCATTGCTGTGGCACAGACGACCATTTCTGTGGTACAAATGACCATTTTTATAGCACAAATGACCATTTCTATGGCACAAAGGACCATTTCTGTCGCACAAATGACCATTTTTATGGCAGAAATGACCATTCCTGTGGTAGAAATGACCATTTCTATGATACAAAGGGCCATTTCTGTGGCACAAACAACCACTTTTATGACACAAATGACCATTTCTGTGGCAGAAATGATCATTTTTATGGCACAAATGCCCATTTTTATGGCACAAATGACCATTTCTGCGGCACAAATGACCACTTTTATGGCTCAAATGACCATTTCGATGGTGGAAATGACCATTGCTGTGGCACAAACGACCATTTCTGCGGTACAAAATGACGATTTCTGTGGCAGAATTGACCATTTTCATGGTACAAAGTACTCTAGTCGTAGTGAAAATGACCGTTTTCATAGTACAAAGTGCCAGTCTTGTTACAAGTGACCATAGTAGTGGTGCAAATGACCATTTTCATGGTATAATGTACCACTTTGGTAGTACAGATGACCACTTATTTGACACAATTGGCCATTTACGTTAGAGAGATGACCGTTTCTGTGGCTCAATTCGCCATTTTCATGGCAGAATCAACCATTTCTATGGCATTGTTGATCATTCTTATGGCTCAAATGACCATGTCTGTGTCACAATTGGCCATGCCCGTATTAGAAATGGTCATTACTTTTGCATAAATCACTATTTTTAGTCGTTATATTTTACAAAAGCAAAAACTTTATCATATGCATTAGCATCTTTCAATATTTTATGTGAACTATTTTGAATATAGCTATCGTATGTAATATAGAACATGTTACAAATATTAATAATTTCTCCTAAAATCATCATTATACAGAATTCATTTTTATTTAAAAATACAAGGACATCTTTGTCATCATTCCGTCAGTCTAGGACCAAGTGAATCGACATTGAATGTCGATGAACGTTACTTGTTTCCATACATTTGCAGGATGATGCATATAGGTGGTGGATGCAAATATCCACATCAATTAAAACATGGTCAGCATTTATTACAGCTATTAAACAAGCTTTTGGATCAACAAAGGTACAAGAATTAGCATTTGAACAATTAAAATGGTATAAACAAACAGTTAATCAATCCATTACACAATATTATGATAAAATTATTGAATTATGCAAAAAAGTCGATCCTGTAATGCCTGATTCTTTGAAATTGAAATATTTAATGGCTGGAATGAAAGAATCATTGAAAACGCATGTAGCATTACGAGATCCCAAAACAACTGAAGCATTTCTATTATCAGCAAGAAAGGTTGAAGATTTATTATCACACACCAAAACAAATAATGAATTACCGGACAATGATATTACCATTATTAATGCAACTAGTTATCAAAATCAATTACGTAATCAAGCAACATTCACACAAACATCAAACAATAAATTTAATCAAAAAAATACTGGCTATGCAGATGCAGCACAAACTCGTACAACTTCTAATAAGAATACGACAGCTGGAAATAACGCAAATCGACAAAATAAATTCTCAAATTCTACAAGATCAACACAAAAATTAGGTGTTTGTTACAATTGTGGTACTCCTGGCCATTATGCCCAGGATCATAGGCGGCGGAGCCCTTAGGCCTGGGGAAGCTCAAGCCTCCCCTAAAACAAAATTGGGGAGACTTTGGGAGGCTCAGATATTTGAAAAAGGTTTACAGATCTCATCGTGATCTCGTGTTTGATTACAGAACGCGGTTTGAAAAAAGTGATGTTTGGTTTTTCTCTAAAAGTAATATTCATTTTGATTTTAGATCGCAGGCATATATGATTGTATTTTTTTGGAAACAGTTTAACACATTATTACTAGTGACTCTTTTATGCAGAGGAATAGCCAACGTACTGAACACGTTTATGGTGCCGTAGTATTTTTGTATTTATCATTAAAAGTTTTGTTATCTTGTCTGCTTGACTTTTGAAAGATTTTGAAATGATAAAGAAACAATAATCTTATAATTTGAGGAAGGTTCATGGAAAAATATGACTTATTATTGAGTAAAGTCAGAAGCGGCGGAGCCATTAGGCTTGGGAAGACTTGAGCTTACCCTTAAAAAGGGAAGGAAGGCTTGGGGAGGCTCAGATATTTGTAAAGATTTTACAAATCTCGTCCTGACCTTATATTTAGTAAGTGAAAACTCTTTGAACGAGATTACGTTCAGCTAGATGCTGGATAGTGCCATAGACAGCCGAGCGATTTGTATCCGATAGGTTCAAGCCGCCCATAAAAAAATTAAGCAGAATGCTTGAGGAGACTAAACGTTTGAGAAACTTTTACGAATCTCATTCTGAGTTTATATTGAATATCCCAAAGATATTATAAATATAATTTATTTTGTATATATCTTTGCATAAACAAATGATAAAATCTCGAATTTTTTTAAATGTGTTTTGGTGGTTTCTAACAAAGCGATCCAAAAATTCCTGTTGATTTGCTCTGATGAATTTTAGAACGCGGAAAGGAAAGGTATATAAAAGGTTTCTACTTCAGATTGTATTGGAGTTAACAAACATATTTGAAATAATATCTGTTTTTCATTTATCTTTCCACGGAAAATTGATAAAAACTTGAATCGCTTTTAAAGGTGTACCATTAAACTCTCGACAATATCCAGAGAAAAATGTTCTCTCGGCATATTGTAATCGATTTAGAGAGAGAAAAAACTAAAGATGTACGAGACACTGGAATTTTTCAACATAGCAGTAGAATAAACGCTCTAGAAATGATTTAATAATTATTAAAGTCAACCTTTGTATATAAAAAAGCATTACTGAGTAAAATGATACTACCAAAGTAATTTTTTTTCTGTTCAAAAGTCGCCGTTAAAGAATCAAAAGTGAACAATTAGGCGCTTCATCGGTAAAATAGAGAAGCAAAGTCGACTCAGAAGAGTGAAAAATTGTAGCATCTTGTAAGTCGTTGATTTAATCCTGCTCAAAATCGATTAAGCTAGCCTAGAGGACATTTTGTTTCTTTAAAAAACATTCAAGTTTCCAGAATTTTTGTGCGGAGACTAATAAGAAATAGATACATTAGAGATGTATTAATTACTTCCAATATAATGGACAGTAACAATACTTCATGCATCCTTTCTTTCGCTTTTCTAAAAACTTTTCAGAACAACTCAACAGGTCCTTGTGATGCAGTTGTCTTAAAGAATCCAGCAAGTTCTACGAATCATTCTTTCGAAATTTTTCTGTAAGTCCTCGTACTCATTTCATCGTCAAATGCAAGAAATTGAAGCAAAGGCAGGTGCTTGGTTGAAGGTGAAAGGTCACTCTTTCAGATCATATACTTTTTTTAAACATGATTGAATTGTATCCTGTGCTATCAAACAGAGGAATTCCGTTTTCTGAATGAATCTAGTAAATACCAAAAAAAGATAAATTATGGAAGATTCGCAAATATAACGGCGAATCTTTTGACAAAATTTCAAGATTACATGGTTTGCTTATACAAAAAAGATATGCGAAATAAACTCTGTTGAAAACATATCGGGACAACTGATATCTCTTTAATACGAGTTCGAGTTGAAAAGGTATAAAAACGCCCATCCTCGTTCAACTCACTCTCCCATTACTCCCTGAAAAGTTTTGAGCCTCCCCTAAATTAGAGTCGTTCCGCCGCCTCTGCCCGGGATTGTACCCGTCCCCATTTTCAATAGGAGAAGCATCGGTCGATGGTGTTGCTTCCGAAAATTTACATAACAATCCATCGACATTAAATACGTCCGTTTTATATCTTAATGTTTCTGTAAATAATAAATGTATGAAGGTAATGATAGATACAGGTGCAAATAGAACTTTTATCTCAATTAAAGCATTAGATCCATCATCAGGTAAGATGTTTGTTAATAAATTACATAAGCGTGCAATTTTAGCTGATGGATATTCGTCTATTTCTGTTTACGGTACATTAAATTTATCTATCATTATGGGTGATACAGCAACTTCTATTAAAGCATTTGTTGTTAAAGAATTATGTGCTGATTGCATACTTGGAATGGATTTTATTAACAAGTATAAACTAATTATAAATACGGAAGAAAAAATTGTTTCACTTTATAATAATTATAAACGTACAACATAAAAATTTGATATTAATTCAAATGAAAATAAATATCCAGCACGTCTAATTAATAATATTCGAATTCCACCAAAACAGACAAAGTCTATTCCTGTTTCTATTGAACTATTATCAGCTAACGTAATATTTCGTCCATCGTTTAAATTACAACAACGAACATCTCTACTTATATTAAATTCTTCATTAAAAGTTCATAATTGTACCTCAAATATTTCACTATATAATCCAACCAATTATTCATATTCATTATCAAAAGGTTTAATACTAGGAACAATTACTATTCCTACATTATCTTTCAAGAAAAATTCGACCATTGATCATGAATTGGTAAACAAAAACATCACCAATTTAATTCAACATATTACACGTCCTGATCGACAGGAAAAAATTAAATCTATTCTTTACCAACAGGATGTGGGTGTGGGTGTGGG